CCACTGGCTCCCTACCTGGCCCGGCCCCTGGCGGCGGGACGGGAGCGCGGCCGGGCAAAGGGGAGTGACTCCGGATTGGCCTCCCCTTCCCGGGCGCACCGCTGGCTGCGGGGAGGGGGCAGAACCCCACGGGCAAGGAAGCTCAGATCCGGAGCGGGGGTGGCCCTGCACGGCCCCCACCTTGCAAAGCAAAGGGGGGCGGGAAATGCTTCCTTGGCCCTGTTGGGGAGGGGGAACTGGGCCTTGAACATCCCCATCTCCCCCCCACGGGCACCCCACAGCTCCCCCCCTGCAGGCACTGAGGAGGAGCTGGCTTTTCTAGAGGCGCCTCCCCCGAGGGGGGCGGGAAATGCTTCCTTGGCCCTGTTGGGGAGGGGGAACTGGGCCTTGAACATCCCCATCTCCCCCCCACGGGCACCCCACAGCTCCCCCCCTGCAGGCACTGAGGAGGAGCTGGCTTTTCTAGCCGTAGAGCCTCTTTGCAAAGATAGGGGCTGTTACCTCCCTCGTGGGGAAACTGAGGCAGGGCCTGACTTGCACAACGGGTCTTGTGAGTCGCAGTCCCACGCCTGCCCCCGTGCCAATGTGGACGCAGGCGTAAGTTTAGATACAGGAGGAGTCCGGGTGGGATGTGCTGGTTCTGGGCTGCAGGTTCGTCTACACTACAAACAGAACCCTGCAGCAATGAGTCTCTGAGTCTCAGCCGGCTGAGTCGGGCTCCCGGGTCCGAGACATTCGTGCCTGGGCTGCAAGCCGCCCATTTGCTAGGTTCAAGGGCCCAGACGCCTGCCGGAGCGGGCAACGGCAACCCTGCTGGTTTTAGCCCTCTCGCCCAAGCCGTGGGCAGCGCTTGCTGTTCGCTCGCATTCACTCACAGAAACGTAAAACGTGGCCTGCCATGGCAGAGATCATGTGACCTCTCAGGGTATCCACCTAAGAAAAAGCATCTGCACGCTGGTATGGTTCAAAGCATAGCACTCTGCCTCCAGCAAAAAGCTAAACTAGTCTAGGAATGAAGAGGAGTCCTCAGAGGACCCCAAAAAACAATTCTCTTACCCAGCATCACAGCCTGTCTTGCGCTTCTCTGGCAAAAGGGCCAGAACGCACACAACTTTTGCTTCCACCAACCGGATATTTTGGGCAACACACTTGTTGCAGACCACTGTGTGCAAGGTCGTAAGCTGGCACCGGGTCCCCGTCACGTCTCTGCCAGGGTCTTTCTGTGCGGCCTTGGGTAAGTCACTTAGTCCTTGAATGCCTGGCTGTCTCTTCTGTGAAACGGCAGGAAGTTTCCATCCTTCCTCCCACCCGGTTATCTGGATGCCAAGCACTCCAGGCCTTGGATCGGGCTTTGAACTGATTGACCCAGGCCGGGCGGGTTGCTTCCTTGTAGATATACTCTTAGTGCTACTGGAATACATAGTAATCGATTGCCACGCTGGTGAGGAACATCTTCCTTTACCCCAAAGTACAGCTGGAAGTGGAGTACTTTGCTGGGGTCCCATTGGGGGGGAGGGTTCTCTAGGCCTCCCCCCAAATTTTGAACCAGGGTCTACTTACCCTAACCCTAGACAGAGTTCTTAGCTGCAACACAGCTTGAGTGTGGGGTGGGATGGATCTGAGAGCTAGGAGCAGCCCAGCCTTTGGGCAGGGAGTTTGTTTATAAACAGAAGCAGAGTGATTAAAATAACAAAAGGCTTGTCATTAAAGTGAACAAAAGGATCATTAGTGGATGGAGAATGCATTGTCAGGCACACCAGTTAAAAGACAGGAAACACAGGGTGAGACTAACTGGGGAGAATGGAGAGGGGTAACTAGTGCTGCTACATTATCTGCCAGAAAGCTAAAGTTATGAAGCGCCTAAGAAGTCCTTAACAAAAGGCTTGTCATTAAAGTGAACAAAAGGATCATTAGTGGATGGAGAATGCATTGTCAGGCACACCAGTTAAAAGACAGGAAACACAGGGTGAGACTAACTGGGGAGAATGGAGAGGGGTAACTAGTGCTGCTACATTATCTGCCAGAAAGCTAAAGTTATGAAGCGCCTAAGAAGTCCTTGGAATCATGGTTAAAGTTGCCTCCCCCGCTCCCCCATCTGCACTGGAGTCATTTTGAAACAAGCGTATGTTTTGTACAACATACATAACAGTAGGAAAAACTATGTAGCACTTTAAAGACTAACAAGATGGGTCTGGCCCACGAAAGCTCATCATCTAATAAACCATCTTGTTAGTCTTTAAAGTGCTACATTGTCCTGCATTTTGCTTCAGCTACCCCAGACTAACACGGCTACATCTCTCACTATTCAAGATGGGTAAAGTGCTACATAGTTTTTCCTTTTGTTTTAGCAAGATCAGACTCACATGGCTACCTCTCTATTACTATTCATACATAACAGTGTAGCTATAATGCACACACATTAGTGGTTTTCTCCCCCACCCGCTATAACGACCTAAGAAATGTCCTTATCACTCTCGCATCCTTTTACTCTGGAAACCTCACACAGGAGGGAGGGAGGGAGAAAGAAAGAAAAAGAAACTTACTTACTTATTATGTGGATCGGTCTTGCTCTACAATTAGTTGGGTTATTCATGCTACCTTCCCTACTGTGATTAGAAGATGACACCTCACACCGAGACATATTTGCACCTTGGGAAAGCTTGCATATTGCTCCAGATCCGCTCTGGTAGGCCTAGCTACAGTTGCGGTGCTGGGAAGTGTAGACAAGATGTCTCCATTTGCATAACACCAGCAAGAAACCTTTTCCAGGGGATGCTCTGTACTTTGCACAACGTGGCCTGCCAGATGTCCGTTGTCTGAGTGGTCTGATCAGCCATTTTTCCACCTGCATTTCAGTGAGAAGAAAGGAAAAGTGAGGAGAACGTTTCCTCTCCACCCTTTTCTCAATTCACATTTTTCCATCCTGCCTTGCCCCCCGGCAGCCTGCTTTCTTCTCACTATTCCACTATGTCTTTTCCTCTTCCTCCCACAATGGCCCCTACTATCCTACATCACAGACCTTGTCTGGCCTGGAAAGTTGGGTCAGTTTATCTAAAAGAACTGCTGTAAACCCTCCTAATTTAGTGGAAACATTGTTAATATCCATTTTACTTGCTTGGGCAATATACCAGAGTAAGCTGACATTGATAACAGATATATGTGTCTACATGGGAAAACTGGAGCAGTTTTCTAATATGGCCCCTGTATTGCCAGCAGGGATCAAACCAACAGAAGAGCAACACAGCCCCAGCTGGGCCAACTTTGGCTTCCTATAGGAGCCCCGACCTTCCTTTCCCTGGGCCTTGCTGCTACTGCTCTCTGCTCCTTCCTTAGAGAAGATCCACACCCAGTTGGGTTTGATCACCTGCTAGGCCTACCACCTAGGGGGAGGGCGGGGCTAATTGGTTAACTGGTATGGGGTGTGTATGTCCCATCACTAGCCCCCTGGAGTTTGGGATGAGACAGTCTGCAGGTGACCTCTTTCATTTCTATTGCATACTTAGCATTAGATTGTGAGCCCTTTACCCCTCCTGCATGTCACTATTCTCTAGTGGAGTCAGGCTTGTATTGTCTGCCCCTTAGGGATTATTTGCTTTCAACACACACCTGCTCGGGGTTGAAGCCTCGTTGTGCTAGGTGCTGTACAAACATATAGGAAGGCAGAGCCCCTTTACCGATCTGTCTCCGCTGAGACAAGATGCAACAAGGGAGCACGACAGGCAAGAGCAGGAGAGAGCAAGGCTCGGGAAGAACAATCACTTAAGGAGGAACAAGCCGTATCACACACACAGAATGGGAAGTGACTGTCTAGGAAGGAGTCCTGCAGAAAGGGATCTAGGGGCCAGAGTGGACCACAAGCTACATATAAGTCAACAGTGTGACACTGTGGCAAAAAAAGCAAACGTGAGTCTAGGAAGCATTAACGGGTGTTGTGAGCAAAACACAAGAAGTCATTCTTCCGCTCTGCTCTGCACTGATCAGGCCACAATTGGAGTCGTGTGTCCAGTTCTGGGCACCACATTTCAAGAAAGACGTGGAGAAAGATCCAGAGAAGAGCAACAAAAATGATGAAAGGTCTAGAGAATGTGAGCGATGAGGGAAGACTGAAAGAATTGGGTTTGTTTAGTTTGGAAAGGAGAAGACAGAGAGGGGATATGAAAGCGGTTTTCAAGTACCTAAAAGGGTGTTACAAGGTGGAGGGAGAAAAATTGTTCTCCTTGACCTCTGAGGACAGGACAAGAAGCAATGGGCTTAAATTGCAGCAAGGGAGGTTTAGGTTGGACTTGAGGAAAAACTTCCTGTCAGGGTGGTAAAACACTGGAATAAATTGCCTAGGGAGGTTGTGGAATCTCCATCACTGGAGATATTGAAGAGCAGGTTGGACAGACACCTGTCAGGGATGAAGATGGTGCTTGGTCCCACTGTGAGGGCAGGAGACTGGCTATGATGGCCTCTCAAGGTCCCTTCCAGTTCTAGTGTTCTGTGAGTCTATAAGAATACGATTGTGCAGTTATGTTGGTGACGTCCAGCTTACTGGGCACGGAGTCCGCACTAGTGGACATTTAAAAATGGCGGCGCCCGGCTTTATGCAAATGAAGCCTGGGAAATTCAAATCCCAGGCTTCATTTGCAACTCCGGTTACCTACATTACCACCCTAGTTCGAACTAGGGTGGTAGTGTAGACATACCCTCGCTTATTCGCTAATTGACTACACTATAACATCCCTAGTGACCTCCCCACATAAGCCCCTCACATGACTTGTTCCCACCCCCACCCCCTATGGCATGGTACCTCCCAGGCAGCCTCCAGCCACACTGCCTGCCTTGGTACCTGGCGTGACATAGCACAGCAGAGAACTGGGCAGCACCTGGAAGCAGAAGAGGAAAGGCTTTGGCCCCGCCTCTTCCCTTCCTCCTGGCCCCTTGCCCCTCCCCCTTGTGTTTTAGGGAGGGGCATGTGACCGTGTATGCCCCTCCCACATGTCCCCGCCCCCTCCCCGGAAGCACCTTCGCATTGCCTAAAAGGCAGTGAGGCCTGCCCGGCACATTCCATCCTGGGGACCCACAGGCCGGCTTAGTGCCAGTTATTCACACAGGGGCTGTTTTTCTTATTTGTAATATTTGAATGCAGGCAGAATACACAGCAGCCTGCAGAAGAGCGCCAAAGACTGAAATAACCCCCCCGCACCCCCCTCCCCATCGAAGGAACCCTGCCAATGCCAGCCACAGAGAAGACCCAGCGTCTGGCTCCCTCTGCCACGCCCTTACCGCGACCGTGCTGCTCTCAACCAGAGGGCCCCCGACGCGCCACCTTTTCTTCACTTCTTTCCTCTCTCAAAGGCCGGGTTTGCACCTGGAACACTGAGCGAGGCCCGTCCGGGTTCGCTCACAAGTGGGACAGGCCAGCCGTGCGCTTCTCGAACGTGTGGAAGAAGAAAGGGAAGGGTTGACGGGGACGTACGCAGCCAAGGGGATGGAAAGCAGAAGGTGAGCTCAGAGGAACTTCTTCCAAGCAGGAGAGGTTTGGAGGGGGGAGTTTGCCTTGGTGATGATGCGGGCTTGTGTGTCCAGTAGGGTTCAGAGACAACGCGCTATATTTCAAGGGAACCGTAATGACATTTGATCACGACTGGGCTGTGTAAGAATATTTGACTTAGAGAAAAGTGGAAAAATTGCATCCAACAGTGACGAGGTAAGAAACCACTTGGGTGGATCAATAGATTCGCTAAATTAGTATGCACTCGAAAAAATCGATCACTCCGATACATATAGTGACAGCAAAATGGATTCAGTAACGTAAGACCCCCCCTTATTAATCACTGGTCTCCCCCATACCGTAACAGAGAGCCACCTGCAGCAGCTGGGAATGAGATAGGACAACGGTGACTCTGCAGACACGGCCGGCCATTGCTGGAATGACAATCTCAGACAAGCAGCTGGGGAAATCAGGGGTCCCTGAGACACCACCTCCCAGTCACCGCTTACCCCGTGTGAGGCAATCACCCCGTTGGCGCATTTCAATGGCACTTGGCTACCGTCTTGCTGGAACGTGCCAATTCCAAAGGGGTGGATTCAGTCAGTAAAGCTGCCACGTTGATTTATTAGGACACGGTTTGGAATTGATTTGGGTTGTACTAGCCCAGAAGTGGAGCTAAGGAGAGAAGTTTGTGTATGATCCGAAAATAAGTCCAACGAAAAGCACTGAGACTCTAGTTACATCTGATCTCCCTTCCAAGAGTTTTACAAGCTCAGGCCCCCATGCAGCCATAAGAACCTCCTATCTGAACCCCTGGAGTTTGTAGGCGCATAGAACTGCCTGGAGGGTTTCTCCGCGGGATCGGAGCATAATTGATTCATCCCTGAAGTAGGTTGTAAGCATTAGCCCTATATTGCAGCGGGGGAAACCGAGGCAGGAAGCTAAATGACCTATCTCCACCCAGGAGGCTTTTCAGTTGCACAAAGAGCTCCAGGTGGCCACACGTGGCCACATCCGTCACAGTTGAGAACCTGACGGCGTGGCCGGCCGGGGGAAGGGCTCTACGGATCCCCGGGGAAGGGCACCCCCCAAAACCCCAGAGACAGGAGCCGTGCCGCATGGCTGGCTGCCCTTCTACATTGCTCCACCACCTCCATTAGCTGAGTCCTCCCGCAGCTGCTTCACCGCCGCCGAAGAGGAGACAGCTGGCATGGCTGGCATCAGCCGCGTCACCGCCCAGAGGAATTTCCCCGTGAGACAGGGAGCCAGCAGTGCCTGGCCCCATCCCCACAGCGGGAATTGGCCATGCCGAGGTCCCTGGGGGGCTGCAAAGAAGGGGGAGTTAGCGCTGTAGCCACGCGGTGCTTCCCCCCCACGGCTTTTCCACGGCACAGGGCAGATCAGAAACGAAGCTAACCAAAGGAGAGGCCCCACTGAGGGAATCTGGCCCCACCGGGGCGTCAATGGGCATCTGCATTGATTGCAGTGGGGTTGTCGACTGGCTCCACACGTGATTACGTTTCAGGCAAAGTGGCACCGGTGTCCTGGGGCGCAGCGTCGGGCCGGAGAAGAGGCAAAGGTGAAGAGAAGCGTTTTCACACAGCCGGGGGCTTCCCCGGGGCCTAAGGCCCTTGAGCCTCGTGGTTCTCTGCGGGCAGGGTGCCACGGGGCTCTCCTCGCTGCCGGCGCTGCGCCTCCTGCTGGCCACTCTGAGGAACAGCTCACCTGGCCCACACCTCTCCCTGCGGGCGTCTCCTCGCGTGGGGACCTCTCTCCCGCCAGGAGCTGCTGCGCCGTTGTCAGGGCTTCTCTGGGGGCAGAGGAAAAGCTCTTCTCCCAGCCAGGCTGAGGCAGTCTTCCTACGCACTGCCCGGCCGGTGCCATTCCCCCAGGGGCTGCCTGGGAACGTGGGCCCATTCGCTGCTTGGGGTTTTGGCTCAGGGTCCCTCTAGTCAGCCGCCAAGGTCTTCCCCCCCAGAGCTTGTCACATTTCCCTGCGTCCTGTCCTAACCTCCTGGCTCTCCCTTTCTCCGGGCCTGCCAGCTTCACGGCTCCCTCCTCCGCAGCCTCCGACATTCCTCCAGCATCCCAAGCAGCCAGTGACTGCTGCCTTCCCCAGCTTAAACAACACC